AGTCTCGCCTAAGTCTCGTCGTCGTTGCTTTAGTCTCGCCTAAGTCTGTCGTCGTTGCTTTAGTCTCGCCTAAGTCTCGTCGTCGTCGCAACCTTCTGGTGACGAGCGACCCCCATTTGGGTGCGGTGAGATCGTAGAATGCACTTTTCATAAACAAATATAATTAATCCTCCACACACATTATATACCGAATTAACGACAAAAGGCTGGGCAAAATCATCATACCAGCCATTTCACACACTGCAAAACACAATTATACATGAACTAAGATCATATCTATAAGATTTACATTTTTTTGGCCAAAACTGTGCGTACTATGCTCTTTGTTTAGGTCTCTAGTGACAAAGCGCGCAGCGATCATGGCGGAAGGACACATGCATTAGGGGCATGTTTCGACCCGGCGTCGACTGGCCGTGTCCGAATTACTGTCTTTCAAACCGTTCAAAAGTTATTAAAGTTAAGCCAACCATTAACCCACCGCTCCCCAGAAAATAAATTTAACCGCCACCTACCTTTTGCTGATTTTCGTGACGAAAAACGCTGCTAAGCCATTTAAATCTGCAGCAGCTCTACAGCCCGTCTCCCACTTCGTATATGTAACGTAAAATGGCGGCTCTGACAGAATGAATGACAAAATGGCAAAGAATTCAGCCAGCTGGACCAATGAATGTAGACAGGGGGTTTGTGCCAGCATATCGAGATTTTCAGTGAGTAAACAGAGCCAGAGCTCCTCAAACACCCCCGCAAGGCTTCAGTTGGACGTTTCCGGATCCAACAAGGTGTCACGTGATTAAATCGGCCAATCACAGGCCTGACCAAGCTTTACATAGACACACACACTGAGGAATTTATTTTATGATATGACAAATATGACAGCTCAAAACTGCTCAAAATTAATCCAAATGATGCCAAACTGCTTTATTAGGATTATTGAACACTATTAGTGATAAGACAAGTGAATATATAGTTAATATTTAGTTATATAGTATATAAAATTAGAATACACCAGCGCAACTGCTGGTTCCAAAAAGTTTGCTTGACTCAGACCATTTATGCTCAATCGAAGTAAAATCTGTTGTGGAGACATGTAAAACATGTGCTATGACTGTGGAGTATTTTTAGGCTTCAATCTGCATTATTTCAAATAAATGTTTTCAATAAAAGTGCCTTTTTTTCAGGCGAACCTGAAACTTTTTCAATTTGAGCTGTGCCATATGTGTATATGTTATTAACCAGTAACATATACACAATATTTACACAATTCAACACATCTCACAAGTGTTACCTGTATTATACCATCAAAATGATTAAAATAGACCTTGTAGTTAGAGCTCTGGACTCTCTTGAGTATGGGGTATGCAATTTTCGAGCAGAGGCCTAAAAATAGGGCTAGGGTTTAAAAGGCTAAGTCTCCGCAGTCGCCGACCACGTCCCGTCATCGTCGCCTACGTCCCGTCATCGTCGCCTACGTCCCGCCATCACAATCACCTTCGTTTTTTCTTTTTTCCAGTTATGACGACAGCCTGCCAGAACTTTCTGAAATTTCCGCAAACCATCCAAAAAGATTTTATACACTTAATCAGGGTTCAGTTTGATTCAGACCTACTGATTTTGTCTGAACCAAGGTTGTAATCGTGTTTTGATCTTGTGGTTTGTTCAGATGGATCCTGTTGGAGCCAAGAAGCCCTAACAGAAGAATCTCTGAATCTTTGTTCTCTGTCTCTGAAACCAGCTGAACCCACCAACACTTCCACGGTAGCAGCAGAGACATCTCTGTTCCATCAAACACTTGTTTAAAATGCGTTTGATTCTCCTCTAAAGTCAGCTGTGTTTGTTTATTTGTTCAATACAAAAACTGTCAGTCTCTGGTCTTTAATCAGCTGTTAAATACTGTGTGTGCATCAAATCGTCCAATAGAGGAACACTCAGCTGGAGGTCAAGGTGAGCCGCAGATGTTTTTTGTGACGACTCTTCTGGAGGATGATTTTACAGAAACACTCTCTCGTAAGATGCTCACAGCAGAAGTCCAAATACAAGGAAATAAAACTACAGAAATTAAAAAGTAACAAAAAAATGACACGCATTTTATAGGAGTGGACCGTGTGTGTGTTCTCTTACCGACTGGTGAGGCCTTGCAGGTTACAGGTACTTTTGGTGACATCACCGAGTTGTACATTTATGTCAACTATCAGCTATGGAGTCAGAGGAACGAAAGGTTTTGGGCTTCTGGAGAATCGTAAAGAAAATTAGACTCACGACAAATTAAACGACGTCAGGAAACAGTCGTCTGGGGATGAATCGAGTGTAAAGAAGCCTGAAGAACCAACAGACGATCCGAGTGTTTCATGGTCTGTATTTCTATCATCAGACTTTGTTTGTAATATTAATAAACAATAGTCCTGATTAAGGATGTCGGTTTCTGTTAATTGCTCCCGTTAACCGGTTAAATATGATTTAAAAGATAAAGTGAAACACGTGCCTTCTGCTCCGGCGCTCCATTGATTCTGAAGCTACATCCAGTTTAAATGTTTCGCCTTCTTCTTTGTTTTCCTTCGGCGTTGCTGAACTTCGTCTCATCTTGATCGGGTCTCAGGTGCTCCGATCGTCCGACTGATCTAAATAGTTTGATGTCTCTGTGAAGACATCGAGCCCGTCGCCGCGGTGCTTCATGTTGAATGAACACAGTGACTGTGTAGCCGTTTAAACATGTTATCGATCGGTGAACCGGTTAACGGTAACGTCCCTTTCTTTATTTTATTTCTTTCACTGCAACTGTTCTATTTGTAGCTTTTTAGTGTTGTAATAATTGTTCTTCAATCTGCTTTTCTTCTGCCTTGTGTTGATGTTTTGAATGGTTTCATGTGAAGCACTTTGTTGTTGAAATGTGCGATACAAATAAACTGCCTCGATGTGAACTCCATCCCACAACTTGTTCTGAGAATGAAGCGGCTGCGACGTCGTCGTTTTAAACAAGAACCTGAATTTACTTTCAGTTCCACGAAAGGTTCTTGGTCGCGTTGAAAAGTGGAAAAAATGATTAAATACATAAATATATATTTATGTGCATGTACAATGAACCATGTTCAGCACAATTTAAAGTGCTTCAAAAAGATTAGTGAAGACATTTAACACTCAACAATTTACTCTTATAAATATATACATCTTTTTACAAATGATTTATCAAATTCCTTTTATGTGCAAACACCGTTTGATTCTGACCGTCTTTATTTTGTCTTTTACGTACAGTGAACTTTATTAACAAGCACATTCAGCGTAAAGCGTCACTGATCACAGGTAAATAAAGGTGCGAGACGTTCGTCTCTTTTCCTCCGATCACATCCAAAAAATACACAAACTGTTTATTTCTACTTGACTTTATTAAAAAATATTATCAACAAAATCATCAGGAAACATGCGCACACAGAGCGCGCGCGCGCGCACACACACACACACACACACACACACACACACACACACACACACACACACACACACACCTTCCTGTTTGTTGAGAAAGAGATTTTTAACTGTTATTCTGTAACAAAAAGAAAAATGACCGACCGACGGATAAATGTAGAGTTTCATTCCAAAACACTTTGCATCCAATTTATTAATAATTAAAGGTGGAGAATAAAAACAACCTGATATTCCCAGTTTCATTTTCCAAAAATATACAATATTTATATAATTACATGCAGTGAAATCTCTGACTGGCAGCTCGTTTTTGGGAGGAAACTCTTCACTTTCGAAAAACTCTGACGATCAAACTGAACCGAAGTGTTGATTAAAAAACAACACTTTGTTTATTCACACACACACACACACACACACACACACACACACACACCCCCCTACAAAAATAGAACGCGCGGCATTTTATATGTTGAACTCCAAAAAACAAAACCCACGTTGTGCACATCGTCGCCGCTCGTCTAAGCTAACAGCTGCTTTTTGTTCACGTACATCATAAAAAACAAAGCTTTGAATGAAAACAATGAAACAACCAGACGAGGTTTTCTTCTTCTGGTTTTGTCGGAGCTAATCGATGACGCAGCGCTTTCTTTGGGGGGGTCAGAGGTGAAACGAGTAACTGAGGTCACATTTAAACGCTCACCTGCAGGTACAATAATAACTGTTTATTTACATACATGCATGCATGTAAATAAACACGCTACTCAACTAAACTCTGTTCAAGACGGAAAGAAGTCGGGTTTTTGGGGAGAATTTTAATAATAATAATAATAATAATAATAAACAGAATGTGGACATTTTAACGTTTGACCTACTGTACTTCAAATAAAGACTTTCTGCTGCTCATTGGTTTCTATTCATTTCTGCTTTCTATTAAAGACTCTTGAAACTGGACCGGGGTCCCCTAGACAGGGATCCCCTGGACCCACTGGACCCGTTAAAGTGAAGTTCCTAATAAAAGGGATGAACGAGGAGTAACTTCATGTCACTTGTTTCTCTTTTAAAATTCTCCCCTGAAGAAGAAGAAGAGGAATGATGTATCGCAGCTTTGTGTCCATCTTCAGAACAAACTCCAGAATCAAGTCGTAGAACTGTTTTCTCTTGACTCGTCTCCCGTTTGTCTTTCGGCTCCTTTTAAATATATATTTTTTCTAACTGCCCTCAGCTGTTGTGCGCTCTCATTGGCCGACGACGAGCTGTCGTCGTGCGCTCTCATTGGCCGACGATGAGCTGTCTCAGGTAGGACTGCGTGAGTCCTCTCAGCTCCTCCAGCGTGTAGTCCTCCGGCATCGGCAGCCGGCTGATGTGCGGCGCCAGCAGGCCGAGCGGGACGCCGAGGGAGTCGGAGTCGCCGCCCTGCTGGAGGGTCAGCACCACGCGCAGGATGTTAGCCACGCGCTTCGCCATCTCTGCAGGAGGAGGAGGAGGGGCTTAGTTAGAGGAGGTGTTTCTGAGTCGTGGAAGCAGCTCAGCTCACCTCACATCGTCTCCTCTTTCTCCTGTATGGACTCAGCTTATTACACTCTTTGTGTTCTATGGCGTTACAGAGCCATTGTAGGCTCTATTATTATTATTATTGAGCTGGGGGAGCGGGGGTAATATACTGAGAATATACGAGACTAAAGTCATACATTTATGAGGAAAAACTGAAAAACTACATATTTTATTGTGAAGGAACCAACCTCATCTTATTAATCAATATAGATATAGATAGATATAGATATAGATAGATATAGATATAGATAGATATATATAATATACACATGATGTCACAGACATCACATCCTCTGGTGGTGTGAGTGTCTTCAGGTTTCTGTGTAACTTTAAGCTTCTAAAGTTCTCTCTGACCGTCGGCCAATCAGAGGCCAGGAGCCGCTGTGTTCTGTTACCTGATTGGGCGAGCCGGTCTCTGGCGGAGCTGCAGGGCAGCAGCTCGATCCTGCTGCACAGAGACGTCACGTCGCCGTGGAGACGCTCCAACTCGTAACCGGCGGTTTCCATCTGGAACACACAGGAAGTGACTTTGTGTTAGCAGCATGCTAACGTGTTAGCACGTGATGAGCGGAGCACTTTGGCTTCTACTCGTCTTCATTGAACATTACAATAACCCTTTCAAAATAAAGGTGAAGCTTCAGTACCTGCTGGATGTCTTGCAGGGTCTTTATGACGCGGATGTAGTCCAGGTAGACCCCCCCCCGCCGTGTCCCAGTCCTGGATGGTGGCGCTGTGTTCAGGGACCGCCAGCCCCTCCAGGAACTCCAGCAGGTAGTCGTGGTTGTCGTTGATGATGCAATCTACGGGAGGACGGGACGGACAAGCTTCATGTGACCGCTTTTAGATCATGAAGGACAAACAAAACCACTTTGTGTTTTATTCTGCGCTCATTAAAGGGTCCGTCTGTGTAGTTCTTAAAGTGACAGTAACACAGACCTGAGGCCAGGTGTTGGATGAGCAGCCGGTGACACTGGCTCCAGCACCTGGCCCGGTACAGGTGCAGCGCCTCCAGATGGCGGTTGGCATCGCGGCGCGCTTGGGTGGCCTTGGCCTCGTGGATCCACTGCTCCGGGATCAGCAGCCTCTCCGTCAGGAAGCGCTCCCTCCGCAGAGACTCGTCCGTCTCCTGCAGGCGGCAGTGCAGGGTCAACATCGCCCTCACCGCTCGCTCCCGCTGACTGGAGACAGAGACATTCAAACACCACAGAAGAAGAAGAAGACAGAATCGGGAAGAGAAGGATGCGAGGACATAACTAGAGATTGAGACCATAAACTCATGTTTACAATGTTTACTGAGGTAATAAATCAAGAGAGAAGTAGAGTCATTTTCTCATAGACTTCTATACAACCAGAGGAGTCGCCCCCTGGTGGACACTAGAGAGAATGCAGCTTTAACACATGAAGAACCGGAGGTTGTCTCCTGGTCTGAGTAGTTTGATTTGACAGATGAAGCTGGACCTACGCGTGGTCGGGGATGTGCAGCAGGATGAAGACGGCCATGTGCCAGAGCCCGGCGCTCTCCAGCTGGGCGGCGTAGCTGGCGTGGAGGAGTCCCTGCCGCGAGGCGCTCAGGTGGCTGTAGTGCAGCGCCTGCAGGACGCCCCACAGGTGCCAGCTCAGACGGTAGTCCAGACGCTCCCAGGTGACGGTCAGAGGGTCCAGCAGCTGCTGCAGGCTGTAGTGTCTAAACACAGAGACAGAGACACTTAAAGAGGTCTGATGAGTCCAGAGAGGTGGACCGGTGAAACCAGCACAGACCGGCTCTGTTTAGAAAAACGTTAGCAGTCGCTGGAGGAGAAAATTATCGATTGTTTTTAGCTAATAAAGGACAATGTGTTAAAAATCTACATCCGAGTAAACATTTTGCAGCCAAATCAATGGATTGATAATAATAACGATTTAAGCTCAACAGGTGAGCTGGTTTACCTGTCGCTGTAGAGTTTGAGCAGGTGGAAGCAGAGGTCGTGCAGCGGCCATTTAGGCTCCGCCTCCTCATCCTCCATGTCCGCCGGCTCCGCCTCCATGTACGGAGGAAGGGGGGGGGCAGGCGTACTTCCCCCCCTCACATGAGCCCTGCAGGACAGAAACAACCACAGAGATGAGATATGAGTGAGTGAGAGAGAGACAGACGGAGAGAGACAGACGGAGAGAGAGACAGGAAGCAGCAGCTCACCTGGAAGGCGTCTTCATATCCTTTGAGGGCGTCGGCTACGGAGGCCGTAGGAGGCAACATGAACCAGAGGTGAACGGCTACGCAGCGCTTCCAGTCCAGCTCGGAGCAAACGTTCACCACAGAGTCAGAGGACTGCCACACCTGGAGGGTCGGACAGGAATGAAAATGAATGCATGTAGATGCAAAATATACATATGTTGTTTTTTTTTAAAAATACATACATATACACATATATAAATATATAATATCGCTAATATCAACCTTTCGTCTGCCTTTGTCCGTTCTTAACGTGTCTACCGGCATCAAAACAGGAAGTCGATGTTAATGTAGTAAAGCCCGCCTCCTGCTCGATTTGATTGGCTGCCTGGGACGAGTGTGACATTGACGAGCGGTTGCTACTGAACTGTTGAGTATTTAAACTGCTTTTAGAGCCTTTGTGTGATCGGGGCCTCGAGCTCTCAGATAAAACCTGAAAATGACGTTTCCCTTGAAATGATACCGAGAAGCTTTTTAACCACATTCACAGTAAAACAACGTTCTGACTCTGAAACAAACGAATCCTTCACATCTCTGAGAAGCCGGTAAACTATATACGTATGAAGGTATTTTAGCATCAACACAGGAAATGAAACGTAATGTGTGCGTACGGGTTTCCCGGAGAGCAGCGTGAAGATGCGCAGCCGTTCCTCGGGCAGGTAGCTGTCCGTCTGCATGCGGTTCCAGTCAGCGAGCTGGAGGGCCAGCAGGTCTCTGCAGTACTGAGAGCCCACGGCCTGGGACAGCAGCAGGGACAGACGGTGGTCTCCTGGGGACAGACGGGTTAGGGTTAGCAGGGACGCTAGCAAGGGATGCTAACAGGTCTGTCCGTCTCTCCCCCCCCCCCCCCCCCTCTCTCTCTCCGTCCGTCCGTCCGTCTCTCCTCACCTTCCTTCTGAGCCAGTCGACAGGCCTCACTGATGCGGTTCCCTGTCAGGTAGCTGAAGATGGCGTCCGTGTGACGACCCTTCGCCACCAGCGCCACCTCCTCCTCCACCCGGCGGGCGGCTCCGCGGGACAGCCAGGCCGAGAAGGTCCGCCTCCTCTCCAGCTGCTGCTCGTACTCGTCGGGTATCTCCGGGTCGGCTGGGCCCAGCCGGCCCCACAGGGCCTCACACAGGGTCCAGACCTCAGACCAGTAACCCAGCAGGGCTGGAGGGGAGAGAGAGACCCTCAAGAATCAGAAAAATACCTGTGAAGCTACGCTAAAGCTAAGCTAGCGAAGAAGTACTCAGGGTATTGTATTTCAGTAGAAGTAGTAATACTACAGTGTAAAAGTACAAAAGTATCAAAATATACCTTCAGTACCAAAAGTACTCATTAGACAGAATAATATATATTATATTATTGATGTAGCTCATTTTAATGATTTTATATAATCTACAATAAAATATAATTTATTAGTTAAATATTCTATTATATTTTGTATTATTAATCTGAAAGTAACTTTTGTCATTTAATAAATGTAATGCGGTAAATGTAATGCGGTAAAGAGACAATATTTCCCTCTGAAGTAAAAGTACCTCAAACGTGTACTTGTACAGTACTTGAGTAACTGTATTGTAAGTAGAAGCTCTAACGTATGAACACTCTTACGCTCGGCGTCTCCCTGCTGCTCGCTCAGCTCTCGGATCCACTCGGCGTACTCGTGCAGCGCCGCTACGCCGGGCCGCGGTCGGACCAGCGGGCAGGCGGAGGCGTCGGTGGAGTCGATGGTGCTGTGCTTCAGACAGATCTCCAGGGGGCGCTGCAGCACCGACCGGCTCTCCTCTTCATCATCATCATCCTCCTCCTCCTCGCTGGACTTCACTGGAGGCTCCAGACCCACCAGCTGCTCCAGAACCACCTTATAGGGGCTCTCTGTGAGCCTGAGGACACACCACAGATACCATGTTCACGTTCACGGTGTTTATTATTGTTTTATTTGTGTGAAACCGTTTCTTACGGTTTGCTGCGGGCGGGTTTGGGCAGGAAGCTGAAGTCCGTCTTGGTGAGTTCTCGGCGGTCGAGCCGCTCAGCCGGCGGTGAGCTCAGCCGGTGGCCGCAGTGAGCGAGCGTCCAGCCGGGACCCCAACCCACCCGGAAGGAGCGACCCGCAAACAAGCCGGCGTCCATCAGCAGACTCCCCTACAGCAGCAACACACCGTGAGTGAGGAGAGACTTTAAAGGAGCTACAGAAACGAGTTCATGAAAGAAACATTCAATATTTGAGTCATAGTTTGGTCGTGTGAACCACAAAACCATGTTTACTTTAATGAATCTCCAAAACGACACCGTGTATTACAGACAGTAGGTGTAGATTTTCCTCTTTCCGACTGTCCTTAAACACATCATGTGCTACAAACAACGTTCACTCTGAGCTCCACGATACCTCGTATGAGTACAGACCAGAGACTATGTGTGTGCATGTGTATGACCAGACGCTGCTGTATGTCGTGTTGATGGAGATGCTACAGTGTTAGCTTAGCATAGCACCGATCGATCCGAACTCCATTCAGAAAACAAGTATTTTAAAAGTGATTTGTTCGTCTTCTTAACACGAATTCAAACTCGTTACTAACCTGCATCATTTTGGTCGGTTTATTGCAGTTAAATCACAACTAAATGTTTATTGTTTATAAATGTGTGTTCTTACAGAAGTGAACCGGCCGACGTGAATACTCTCCTGATGACGTCATGACTATCGGTTATATCTTTGTTTACCTGATATCAATAAACAACAACAAACCTTCCCCTGAGTGACCGACTCCTTGAGGGCCACGGGGCCGCCCAGCCGCCGGACGCCGACCGTCCTGACCGAAGGCTCCGGGGTTCGGGGGGGCAGCAGGAAGGACGAGGGTCCCGGCCCGGCCCAGTGAGACGAGTGGGGGGGCTCTTTAGCTGCCGGAGACCCCCGAGTCAGAGGAGGAGAGTCAGACATCTGAGAGAAGAGGCCGGAGGTGAACCGAGCCTGAAGGAGACCCCCCACTGTGGAGGCAGAGAGATCATCATCACCACCACCACCCTGCTGCTCGATATAATATCTTCATCATCATAGAATATCTTCAAGGCACTAAACCAAAATAAAACAGGAAGTGGGCGCAGGTGAGTGTTCTGGTACCGGAGGGTCGGCTCTGAGTTCCCGGTACGACGAGTCGAGGAGACGAGACGTCGACCTTCATCGCTCTCTGGTCCTGAAACATGTCGCTCTCCTCATCCTCAGCGAACAGAGACGCCTTCATGATCTGCAGACGAGAACACGTGAAGGTTCAATTCCGGCTTCATTCAGGCCGACCGTACTTCCTGTTTGAGGCACGTGGCTCTTACCTGGAGGGTGTGAGGGTTGATCCCCAGAGAGGACGCCATGTGGCCGGACGCAGAGACGCCGTCATGCTCGGCGGGGATCGGACCCCCGAGCTTCCCGCTCGTCCAGTCCGTCTCCAACGCCGGCAGGTCGTCGTCCTCTCCTCCCAGCATGCTCTCTGTCGGGAAGCTCTGGGTGATGTCAGCCATGTCGCTGTCCAGCTCGGCCACGCCTCCTGTGATCTCCACGGCAACAGCAGACTGAACGAACACACACACACACACACACACACACACACACACACACACACACACACACACACACACACACACTAGGTGTTTACGTTGAAATTTTATGTATTTTAAACATGGTTGTTGAATATTTAGTTATTTCTCCTGTAACTTCCTGGTTCTTTGTATTTGAATAGTTTTAACTGGTCTGTGAAGCACCTTTAGGTTTCCTTCATATTGTAACAGATAATAAATGAATTAGTATTAGTGTTTATCGTAGGTTTCATGTTTACAGAATGAACAGAACACATCTTTGTGCTCGTTAAGTTATTATTTACAGTGAAGTTGGCTGATTGCTGATATACGATCCACTGATCTTTATCAAAATAAATATCTTATATTTAATAAACATTAACTGAGAACAGACGTCTGACTTCATGTCACAAGAAACGTTTGATCTCTGCAGATTAAAATGTTACCACAAACTTTACAGACCAAAGATTAAAAGTCTTCATAAACTTTATTCGGTTTTTCTTTCATTAAATGCATAAAATATAAATGAATACAATTCATGTCACATCTGGAAGCAGCTGAAACATTTACCTGCTGAAGTATTTATGCTCTGAAGCAGATGTTTAAGAGGAGAAACTCATAATATAGTTATAGAATAATAACAAACAGCAGATATTCTGTAGAAGTCCCGAAGAACTAAAACCTTAAAACATTAACGTCTGATCAGAAGGTTTCCTGAGTAGAGAAAATACTTTGAGTTAAGGTTTAAGTACTATTTATACGTGTGTGTGAGAGACAGGTCAAGTGTGTGTGAGAGACAGGTCACGTGTGTGTGAGAGACAGGTCAAGTGTGTGTGAGAGACAGGTCAAGTGTGTGTGAGAGACAGGTCAAGTGTGTGTGAGAGACAGGTCAAGTGTGTACTGGAGTTCAAACTGAAGCGGCATAATTATAATAATAATAAACAGATCAAAGTTGATATAAACCGTTTCCAGCATTATAAAATGATGAATGGTAGCTTTAACCTGGAGGAACATTAAAACGTTTAAGTTTGTAACAACATTCCTGATGAAATGAACTCAGCGAGGTTTTCTGCTTCTAATAAAAACAATAAAACTAAAATAAAGCGTTGCGATCTACGTTTACTGTGAACGACGTCAGACGACCTGAACCGGACTTATTGTTGTCGAGTAGAAGCTACGATCCGAGTAGTCGACTTTAAAGTTCAGCATTCTGAAACGCACAAAACTTTAATGGAAATATTTCACTAAAGATTCTTGTTTCAGGAACACACAACGGCGTATTCAGGCCGTTTTATAAATGAATATAAAAACTACAGAGAGGTAATATTCAGAGATGACCTCAGAAGAGTTTTTAGGGAATAAAGTCACACATTTAGCCGGCGTCTGAATTTGGTTGCTCCTAAAAGTTGTCGTTACGTTTTCTTTCATGCTCTTTATGAACATAATCTCAGGTGTGTCAGTGAGGACGAGGAGGATGAAGATTAGTGTGGATGGGCGCAGGCTGCTCTACCTGAGCCTGTGGCACCACCTGCTGCTGGGAGGGGGGCCTGCTGGGAGGAAGTGACATCGTCTTCAGCTTCTTGGGGTCGGCTTTGAGCGGGACATCCTCCTCCTCGTCAGAGTCCTGGAGGCCATATTTAGAGAAATGGGCCACCTGGGACAGAGAGAGAGAGGGGGAGGAGTCAGTTAATTTTTTTATTTATTAATTATACTATATTGATCCCAGAAGGGGGGATTTGTCTCTGCATTTGACCCATCCCTGTATATAGGGAGCAGTGGGCTGCCAATGACAGGCGCCCGGGGAGCAGGTAGGGGTTCAGTGTCTTGCTCAGGGACACTTCGACACATGACACGTCCCAGTCAAGGATCGAACCGATGACCCTGCGGTTAAGAGAGTTGTCTGGTAACCGCAGGGTGATCGGTGAGCCATGGTCGCCCCCAGAGCGAGAGAGAGGGAGGAGTCAGTTACACCAGAGCGAGAGAGAGAGAGAGAGAGAGAGAGGGAGGAGTCAGTTACACCAGAGCGAGAGAGAGAGAGAGAGAGAGGGAGGAGTCAGTTACACCAGAGCGAGAGAGGGAGGAGTCAGTTACACCAGAGCGAGAGAGGGAGGAGTCAGTTACACCAGAGCGAGAGGAGTCAGTTACACCAGAGCGAGAGAGAGAGGAGTCAGTTACACCAGAGCGAGAGGGAGTGAGAGGGGGAGGAGT